CTGGCTTTTCTAGTTAAGTGTATAGATCATGTACTGTGGTATGCAAAATACAATTCTGTTGAAGAACACAATGACCTTCTAAAATCCTTCTTACCTTTGACTCATGTTTGGACATATAGAATGTGGTCTACTTCATTAGGGCTTCTTTGTGAGTATCAAGTAAAAGAGTATATGCAAAGCAGATAATAGAGTGTTAAGTATATATAGTGGAAAATCATGTAAGAGCCAAATTTCCTAGCATTGTCTCTTTAAAATCTTACCCCTTTCTCTGATGGAAAAGATTTACAAAATAGATATTTGTAGTTGTCATCATCAGGTCATCTGAATGTTTAACTAAGCACATTTGTGAAAAAATTAGAGAAATTCTGCCTCAAAAAGGGGGGGGGGTAGTGAAAGAAAGAATGTTGTGCCTGAAGAAGACAGCAAGGCTTGCCAGGTAATATTTCAGGCTACATAATTCTGCAGTGCGGGGGGATGGATGATCTGTTCACTATTGGCTGTTTAGAAGCGTATTTCTCCTTCCCACTAGATGCCAGTAGTACCACACATTCAGTTCTAAGTTATGACTACCAAAATTATTTCCATACATTGCTAAATGTCTTACAGAGCAAAGAAAGATACTCTTGATTAAAAGTATCAGTTCATACTAATTTAGGTCTGGAGATTTCATTCCATCAGTACTGTTTATTAACTAACTGTATTTATGAACACAAATTTTAATCTCTTGAAATTCAAATAAAATCATAGATATACATATGCATGTGATTTCAACATCCCTTCAACACAATAGTGGTAGTGAAGCCATTTTTGATAGACATTTGATTCTCAAAAGGAAGTGCTACATTGTACGACACTGATCATATTCTATTCTATGTAAGCTACATTCCTATTATAAAGAGCTATTTTAATATATATCACTATATCTATGATTTGATGTAAATATATATGCACATACACATGTACACATTTCAGTTAGGAAAAAAAACCAATGAAGAGAATAACACAGAGAAATTACACTTTAATTTCAGTCAAATGAAAGCTTTAATAGAATACTTCAGGAACAAGTTCATTAGACTATAAAAGGGAGATACTTTGTTTCTCTCATCATAGTTATGTGATTTTCTAACAATTTCCCTAGACTGTATTTAATATATAACAATATTGGGAATGAGGGGGTAGAGAAATCTTACTGCCAGTCAAAACAAACCTAAAACCAAAATTACTCAAAAATGATACCTGTCTTTTCTTTTTCTTTAATTTTTATTTTATGTGTATCAGTGTTGTGCCTATATCAGAATACTTGGAAGTGGGATTATAGACTATTCTGAGCTGCTGTACAGGTACTGAAAACCAAACTGGGATCTTCTGCAAGAGCAGAAAGTGCTCTTAATTGCTGAGCTATCTTTCCAGGGCACTATAAATGGCATTGCCTTTACTTTATGAAGTAAGAAATTATATGTTTATGAAGAAAGAAATTATATAGTTGAAAAGAGTAGAGAAATAGTGAAATGGGTCTTTGGAAATTATAAATTTTATATCCAAATAATTCAAACTATTCACTGAAGAATAGGATAGCTGTCAGAAAAATCTTCCAGTCAGAGTACCTCACAGCAGTAGATCATTCAATTGCCCTCTACATAGGGACTGGCACAATAAATACAATAAAATAAAAAATGTTCTTTCCCTTGCAAAACATGCAGTGGTTTCTGCTATACTTCAGATTTGACAGCTCTCTAAGCGGATTTTGGATACACGTAGGACCCCGTGTTGTCAGGTGTCCCCTGAAGAGAGTCAAGCAATTTTTATCTTAAATAGTCTCAAGGCCCACTGCAATAATAAATATGAAAGACTTTCTTCTTCTGGCCGAATCAGAGGACTACTGTGAATCCCAAGGCACTGTTAATGGTGCCTTCTGAATATCCCATCCATATAATTGATACATCTTCCTCTATCTCTTTCCACCATTATTTCTTGAAACTTGACTTTCCTCACCTTTAACCACAGACATACCCATTCTTTCTTTCTACCATATATAAATGCGAATATCTCACAAAGGTCCATCCTTTGACTTTCTGCTTTTTATTATTGCTTTCTTTGAAAAGATAGCTGATCCATAACTTGTGGTGTCTTTCACTTTTCTTTGAGTGACTTTAAGATCACTATCTCCAGGTATAACAACTTTTTTGATCTCCCATCTTGGGTTACATGTCAATTATTTCATAATTCAAATACTACATATTTTCATTCAATTATGCTGAATACAACTTCCTTCCTAAAGTTTTTTCTGCAATAAACCCTGAAGTGATGTTTTTAGACAAATTACACCTTTTTCAAATTCAATTGTCTACTTAGTCATTCAGAAAATGCAGAATATCCCACAGGTGTAAGACACAAAGTGAAACTCTGGAGATAAAATAGCTGATAAAATAGGCATACACTCTGCTGAGATGTAAGTCATTGACTAAAAACTGGGACAGAATATTTTTTAAAAATAGCTAATTCTTATACAAATAACTAAGAATTCTAAGGATGGGGAGATTAATATTTTATTATTGTTAATATTGTTTTTATTAGCAGTAGTAGTAGTATTGTTTTTTAGAAAAAGAAATCTCCATATAACCTTGACTGTCCTGGAGCTTGCTATGTAGACCAGACTACTCAAACACATACAGACACATATGACTATGCCTCTGAAATGCTGGGCTTAAGGGCTCATACCATGACACCAGGCTTGAGGAGAGGAATATTTCAAAACATTTAGTAAAAGTATTGTACTATCATGCCAATCTATGAAGATTTTTCTTGAAGAAGAGATATTGGAGGTGAAATAACCATAATTTTTTCTTGGCAAATCATGACGCATGTGTTGGAGATGCAACTTACAGAGATAAAAGGATATGCACATATAAAAATCCATGTAACACAAGAACATTTTGAGAAACTCAAAACAGCATAGAATGACAGGCAAGCAGGAAGTACAATGAATGCTGACTTGAAAGAGAGGGAAAAATAGCAAGCTATGTTTAAAAATGTCTTTATCTCAGCCATGTGGTGGTGGTGCATGCCTTTAATCTCAGCACTTGGGAGACAGAGGCAGGTGAATCTTTCTGAGTTCAAGGCCAATCTGGTCTATAAGAGCTAGTTTCAAGATAGGTTCCAAAGCTACAGAGAAACCCTATCTCAAAAAAACCAAAAAAAAAATATATTCTTTATCTTAGTAAAAGGAGCCATTTAGTTTGTACAAGACAAAGTAGGATATAAGATATTTGTCATTGCTTTTATTGGCGTGTAATTAAATTTAAAAATATTCTAATTAGGATTCCCACTCACTAGAGTCTAACGAATGTGTATCATAACACAGAACATTTTCACCCCAATATAGCAAATTCCCTTATGCTTTCTTCAGTCAGTCTCCAAGTCTTCAAAGTAACCACTAATTGGATTTCTAACACAAAAGATTTTTTGCTATACTATTTACATATATATAATAATACAATAGTAGTTTTAAAGTTAGTTCTTTCATTGAACATCATTTATTGGTATGATTTACTTTGTTCTTATGCTGTATTAGTATACTCACTTTTTCTGTTAATTGGTAAATTATGAATGAATGAGCATTCTTTTAGATGGAAATTGGTTCATTTATTCCCAAGGAAAGTAGATGAATGATTTAGATTTAGTTAATTGTAAATGTGTTGTTTCAAACAATATTTCAGAAGATTTAAATTAAATAGAAGTTAGAGAAGCATTAGATATAGAAGTAATACCAGAAAATCCAAAGTTAACTTGGATCAAGGATAACTCCATATCTCTGGTTTATGTAACTAGCATGATAGCATTTGTCTTGGCTAGTTTTGTGTCAGCTTGAAGTAAGCTAAAGTTAACAAAAGGAAAGGAACCTCAATTGAGAAATTACCTCCATAAGATAAAGATATAGGCAAGTTTATAGGTACTTTCTTAATTAGTAACTGATGAAGGCTGTTGGTTCAGGGTTTTATAAGAAAACAAGCTGAACAAGCCTATAAGCAGGACTCCTCCATGACTTCTGCATCAGCTCCTGCCTACAGACTCCTGCCCAGTTTAATGACAAACTGTTATATGAAAGTGTATATGAAAGAAACCTTTTCCTCCCCCAAGTTTCTTTTGATCATGATGCTTTATGAATAGCCAAAGAAGCCATATCCAAGAGACTACTACACAGAAAATTATGGACGAAATCAGATTCCATTTGGGACCTTTAAATTTTAGGTAGTGGCTTTGAACCATTCAAGTGCCAATAAAATGAAATGTAAACAGCTTAATGTTTGCAAGTGTAACTCAGAGCATAAGCCAAACTTACCAATTGAATGAGTTCATTCACCTCCTTACAATGGAACACTAATTATTATTTATACAATGCAGGAGTCATAGCTGCCTCGGTGTATATATATATATATATATATATATATATATATATATATATATACTGTACAGTCCTTAAGATTATTTCAACTTTTCCCACAGTCATCAGAATTCTTCATTTGGCTGAAATTAAACCACCATATTTTGTGGATCTTCTAGAAATCTCATAAATGTAGTATATCCTGTGAATTCTTAGCCCCTAGAAATCCATGGAAACATGAATTTAAGGGAAACTATTTGGCCTCTTATTCCTACTAGCTTGCCTTGCCACTAGTTATTAGTAATACACCATTTTTTTTAACAGCAAGAGAGGATGCTTACCTCAAAACCAAGAAACATATAGCAGAATATACAGCAAAATCTTTTTACATCTTCAGTCTTCTCTTTCCCTTACTATATGCTGCAAGTATATAAGAAATACAGAAGTGTAAAGAAGAAAACTATTTAAATGTGGGATTTTTTCTCAAGGTTCATACTTCAAACCTACTACTGAAATGTGTTCAAGGAAAGGAAGGAACCATGGTTACAAGACTTTGGAAAATGTTCAAAATAGCCAAGTCTTACTGTGTTACCATGTATAAAAATATATGTAAAAGTTTGTGCTTGCTTTGGCAGCACATATACTAAAATTGAAACAATGCAGAGACGATTAGCATGGCCAAGCGCAAGGATGACACACAAATTTGTGAAGCGTTCCATTTTTTTTTTACAAACCCAGCCTTACAGAAAATACTAGAAGGAAAATCACAATCCAAGGAAGCCAACAACACCCATAATAACACAAGCATCTGACAACCCTCCACCAGCACAACTCAAAGAAGGGAAACACACAAATACTACCACCAGAAAAAATAACCGGAGTTAACAACCTCTGGTCATTAATATCACTTAATATCAATGAACTCAATTCACCTATAAAAAGGCACAGGTTAAGAGAATGGATATGAAAACAGGATCCAACATTCTGCTGTTTACAAGAAACACACCTCAAACTCAAAGACAGACACTACCTCAAAGTAAATGGTTGGGAAAAGGTTTTCCAATCAAATGGACTAAAGAAACAAGTGGGTGTGGCTATACTAATATCTAACAAAATTGATTTCAAACTAAAATCAATCAGAAGAGATGGAGAAGGACACTTTATACTCATAACAGAAGCAATTCATCAGGAGGAAGTCTCAATCCTGAATATCAACATATCTACACCCCTAATATAAAACCACCCACATATACATAGAAAAAATTTCTAGACCTCAAAGCATACATCAAACCCCTAAACACTCTAATAGTAGGAGATTCCAACACTCTTCTCTCACCAATGGACAGGTCAACCAGATAGAAACTTAACAGAGAAATAAGAGAACTAACAGATGTAATGAAGGAATGGACTTAACAGATATCTATAGAACATTCCACCCAAACAGAAAAGAATATACCTTCTTCTCAGTGTCTCATGGAACCGTCTCAAAAATTGATCACATAATTGTAAACAAAACAAACATCCATAGATACAAAGAAATTGTAGCAACCACATGTGTACTATTGGATCACCATGGAATAAAGTTAGAATTTAACAACAGTTCTAACCCCAGAAACATTTTGCTTGAAGTTCTAACAATAGCAATAAGATAGCATAAGGAGATCAAGGGGATTTGAATTGGAAAGAAAGAAGTCAAACTTTCGCTATTTGCAGATGATATGATAGTGTACATAAGTGATTCCAAAAAGTCTACCAAAGAACTCCTAAAGCTGATAAACACCTTTAGTAATGTGGCAAGATAAAAGATCAACTCAAAAAAAATCAGTTGCCCTCCTATACATAAAGAACAAAGAAGCAAAGAGAGAAATCAGAGAAACATCACCTTTCACAATAGCCACAAATAGCATAAAGTACTTTGAGGTAACTCTAACCAAGGAAGTGAAAGATCAATTTGACAATAACTTTAAGTCTTCGAAGAAAGAAATTGAAGAGGATACCAGAAATGGAAGGATCCCCCATGCTCTTGGATTGGGAGGATCAACATAGTAAAAATTGCAATTTTACCAAAAGCAATTTATAGATTCAATGCAGTCCCCATCAAAATCCCAATAAAATTTTTCACAGATCTTAAGAGGACAATAATCAAACTTATAAGAAAAAAAAAACAGGATAGCCATAACAATCCTATACAATAAAAGTACTTCTGAAGGCATTAACATCCCTGACTTCAAACTCTATTACTGAGCTACAGTATTGAAAACAGCTTGTTATTGGCACAAAAGCAGAGATGTTGACCAATGGATTCAAATCAAAGACCAGGATATTAATCTACAAACCTATAAACACCTGATTTTCGACAAAGAAGCTAAAATTATACAATGGAAGAAAGAAAGCATCTTTAACAAATGGTGCTGGCATAACTGGATGGCATCCTGAAGAGAATGAAAATAGATCCATATCTATCACCATGCATAAAACTCAAGTCCAAATGAATTAAATACCTCAATATAAATCTGACCACACTAAACCTGATAGAAGAGAAAGGGCGAAATAAACTGCAACACATGGGCACAGGAGACCACTTCCTACGTATAACCCCAGTAGCACAGTTAATAAGGGCAACAATGAATAAAAGGGACCTCTTGAAAGTGAGAAGTTTTTGTAGAGCAAAGGACACTGTCATTAAGACAAAAAGGCAATCTACCGAATGGGAGAAGATCTTCACCAACCCCACATCAGACAAAGGTCTGATATCCAAAATATACAAAGAACTCAAGAAACTAGACATTAAAATTCTAATTAACCCAATTTTAAAAAATGGGGTACTGAACTGAACAGAGAATTCTCAACAGAAATTCAAATGGCCAAAAGACACTTAAGGTCATGCTCAACCTCCTTAGCGATCAGGGAAATGTAAGTCAAAACAACTTTGAGATACCATCTTACACCTGTCAGAATAGCTAACATCAAAAAAAAAAAACAATGATAGCCTTTGCTGGAGAGGATGTGGAATAAGGGGAACACTCATCCATTGTTCGTGGGAATGCAAACTTGTGCCGCCACTGTGGAAGTCAGTGTGGTGGTTTCTCAGAAAACTGGGAGTCAACCTACCTCAGTATCCATCAGTTCCACTCTTGGGAATATACCCAAGAGATGCCCAATCATACTACAAAAGTATTTGTTCAGCTATGTTCACAGCAGCACTATTTGTAATAGCTAGAACCTGGAAACAACCTAGGTGCCATTCAAGAGAAGAATGGATAAAGAAGGTGCAGTACATATACACTTTAGAGTTTTACTCAGCGGTAAAAAACAATGACATCTTGAATTTTGCATGTAAATGGATGGAAATAGAAAACACTTTACTGAGTGAGATAACCTCGACCAAAAAGAGGAATATGGTATATACTAACTCATGTGTGGATTCTAGCCATAAACAAAGGACCTTGAACCTATAGTTTCTGATCATAGAGAAGGTAACTAAGAACGTGAACCCAAAGAAAAACATAATCATCCTCCTGGATATTGGAAGTAGACAAGATCACCAGGCAAATGATGACAGCACGGGAGTGGGGGGTTAGGGGAAAGGAGTGATGGGGAGAGAGAAAGAAGAAGGGGAAGATTGGGGAGAACTTGGAGGAATGGGATGGTTAGATGGAGGAAGGGTCGATATGGGAGCAGGGAAGAAGATATCTTAACTAAGGGAGCCATTTTAGGTTGTACAGAGAATCTTTTAAAAATTATGATCTAGGGAAACTTAGCTTGGAAAAGGGAACATTGCAGCAGGCACGAGGATAACAGGGTTGTTGGTAAAATGCCTAAAATGTTTGAAGAGTTGATGGCATAAGTCACAAAATAATCCCACACCAGTTCGGAATTATGAATAATAAAAGGATTATTTATTTAAGGGGAAATATTACAGATCACTGTCCCAGATAACAGTCCTCTGTGTGAACAGGAACGGAGTCTAGCAGCTGGAAGCAGCAGCTTGAAGCAAGAGAGCAGGCACACATTTAAAACTGCTTTTACAGCATAAAAGACCACGCCCAAGTATGCTCATATCTTAAAGGCTATTGGCTGAAGAAGCTGAATATGCTCCCACAGCAAAGAATTGTATGCTTCATGCTATTGTTGTGACTAAGAAGAAGAAAAAGGGTTCTTGAATGCCCAGTTAGAATGTTTCATTTATATAAAACACTATTTTCACTTTTTTTTCAGTCTTGGAATATAGGTTGACCAAATTCAGTTTGATTTGTGTGCTCAAAACAAGGAAAACAGTCTGATATGGGGTGGAGGGTTATTAGGCCATTATGAATTTTATGAGCACAAGAAAGATGCTATGATTTGTAGTCAGAGGCTGCTCATTTGTTTATAGGTCACTCAGACCTGAAATCATCATCCAGAAACTATATTATTTTCAATATTGTTTGTCCAAAAGGTTAAATATATTTCTAGCTAGCTCCTAAATCTTAAATTAATCTGTTTCTGTTATTTTATATTTTACCATGAAGCTGGTGGTTTACCAGCAAGGTTCCAGCACAGCTGTCTCCTGCAATGGCTACATGGTGTCTCCCTGACTCAGCCTACTCTCTCCCAGCATTCAGTTTAGTTTTCCCACCTAGATCTATTCTGCCCTATCACAGGCCAAAGTAACTTCTTTTTTCATTAACCAATAAAAGCAACACATATACAAAATAACTTCCCATATCAATGATTAAGTTAACCAATCAGGGAAATAAGTCAATCGCGTTTTAGGTATTTAACTCAGAGGGATTAATAACACAATTCAGTATTTAAAATGACTTCAAAAATTATGATTTTCCACAACATACATGCATTTTATTTTACCTCTCTCCTTTCATAAAGCACAGATATTGAGATTAACTTCACATTTTGAAAAGTTTGAACTCCTTGAAAAGCTTGATTGTTAAAAAAAATTATATCACATGAATATTATAGTCCAACTGGACTCATCTTTGTTTTCATTCATTTCAGAATATATGACTTAAGCTTACACAGCTAGAACAAAGTTAATGAGGTCTTTCTCCACCAGAATGTAAAATAGTGCTTTTTATTAGATTAAAAAGGCAAAAGACAATGTTACCAGAGGTTTTCACCAAGGTCTAGAACATACACATATTCTTCCGTAAACCTGCAGAAAAGTGGAATGACAACAAAGACAGTAGGACCAGAAGGCTTGGGGTACTGAGAATAAGAAGATAATCATTATGATTATACTTAACATATTGCCCCTTGGGCTACTAGAAAATTAGAAAACAAAAATTAACAACCTGCATGTTTTCTACTCAACAAGTTAAAAGATAAGCAGTTCTTGCTTCCTGAATTTGGGGAGATAAGTATTTGACAGAGAAAAGTGGTGACAGGTTTCAATTATCTGATAATTCAGAGAGGAAAGACAGTAAAAGGAAATCTGTAAGTAGTAAGAAGGGAAATCTGTGTGTCATTTAATGGTATGATTTGTACAACTACAGAAACAATTTTCAATATTGTTTATATATGGAATAAAGAGGAAATGTTAGAAGGGAGCCTTTCTTGTGTAGCTCATATCATGGATGGTGTAGTCATGCTATAATCAGTACTCTGTGATTTTTAGATAGCCATGACTAAAAGAGAAAATTTAAAATAGTCATCAAATGAGAGGCTAGTTTTTATACAAGATTTGCATAAACACAAGCTGGAAAAAAATTCCCAGAATGGAGGAAGG